ATTCTCAACAAATGGATATTTTCAAGAAACATTCCAAAGAAGGAAATCTAGCCTAAAATCATTTTATTAAATATACCGTTTCTTAGCAATTAATAATATGTTCTTCTTATAATTAGTAATACAGAAGTTTAATAACAAGAATTTCTAGTTGAAATTAGCAGGTATCACTAGCATAGCTGTACAAATAGATCAGTATGTCATTAAAAATAGGACATTCTGACAGCCTAAATTTCTGTGTTAATGGTGGAATTATATATAAGAACAAAATTATGTTTGGCATATCTCATCAGCTTTCAAAACCTTTGTGTGTCATCATGACAATCTATTGCATCGATGAAAATGCAGTTTTTTAGTATGCCAAAAATAGATATAAATGAAACAAAACTAGTAATTCAGTCGAGAACAACATGGACCACTATTTACTGAGTCACTACGGTGTGTTAAATCTGTATTGTAGATTTGCATATGGTACATTATATACTCATTACAACAAGGTTAAGTACATATTATTACTAACATTTTAAATATAAAGTATGGCCAAGAGTCAGTAAGTATTTAAAATCCCGGTTTAGCTACGCAATATACTTTTAACCACTAGGCTATGATTTCACTTTTAGCTATGTAGTTAGGGTTAAGATCATATTTTCCTGTGAGTGTCTGATTCTTTCTCCTTTCCTCATCACAGGACTTGCAAAAGTTTTACCCAATCATGATATCACATACAAAATGCAGGATCTCATGATCTGGAAGAGGTCTAGACACAACGATGTGAAGGCCTATGAATAAAAAGTCAAATTATCTGTCATATAATGGTAGAAGAGAGACAGAATAACTACAGAAAACTCTCCCACTTCAAAGGGGAAGGATGGGAGGTATTTAGCAGTCACTGGTCCATAGTAATTCTGAAATCCTAGTTGGCATTACTTGAGGGTAAGAAATATTCTGAGTTAAGTTCTGGGAATAGGTCCATAGACCAGTGTTCTCGGCTCTGCCTTCTGGGAATTCATTCCTCTTTTATCATCCTCCTTGACCAATCACGGAGAGGATTAGAGAACATGTCCATTCTGGCAATCTGTTTAACTACTTGTAGAAATTTGGAGACCAAGAAGTATTTAACGTACCAAGAACTCTCCATCTCTTCCAGTCTAGGGTGCTTGTTTATGCTGACACAATGATATTTTACAAGGTTATGTGTTTTCTATGTATTTTTCAGGTCCTTTCTGCCAAAATCTATGTCCGTAATTCTTTCCGCAAGCATCTCTCTCTAGATTCAATTATGCATATTTTGGATGTATCTTGTTTCGGTAAAAATACTACTTTATTCATTCTAGCATCACTTTTCTCGTGCTGAATGGCAGGTTAGTTATTTTAGAGGCATAATCTACAAGGCATGTTAATTATTTTAGAAGTTTTAACAAAAGCTTTGATGACAATATGTTTCATTGGATCTTTATCTTGAGGTGATTTTTAATGGTAAACTCTGATTTAGGCCTTTTCCTTGAGGCTGTGCCTTAATGGTCATTTCTTTAATTTGGTGAAAAATAATTTCATTTAGTAACCCTACAATTCTGTGCTGTCTCTACTGCTTCTAAATACTGCTTGAAAATTGGATATTTCTTTTCAGATTTCATCATTTTCTTTTAGTACCTCTATCTGTTTGTCAGGTACATAATCTTCCTTCCAGTTGCAGGAAATAATGTTAGTAAGTGTTTCAATAGTACATACTATAGGTCACAGTTTTTCTAATGCCCCATAAGAGTTTCTTCACTATTTTTCTGGCCATTTATAGGAGTTTTCTTGCAGCCTACAGCTTTGATCAAAATCATGTTTTAGGGTTTTTTTCATGGCAACTCCTTTCCCAGTACCAACTTCTGGAATGCCATAGTAAAGCTGCGTACTAAATTACCCCAACACTCAGTGGCTTAAAATAACAATCATGTACTCTTTTTTGTCTGTCTGCAAATCAATCATCTGGGTATGTCTCTGCTGATACCAGCAAGACTTAATTAGGCTTAGTTCCAAACTGCACGTTTGGTTTAGTCTGTTCTGCATATCTCTCACTCCTCTGAGACCTTCCTGAGGCCATTTGTTCTCATGGTGGCCAGAGCATAAAATGGCAAGTTCAATCACACAAGCACATTTCAATCTTCCGCTTGAGTCACATCTGTTAACATCCCATCACCGAAACAAATTGCATGGCCAAGCTCAAAATCAAGAGGCAGAGAAGTATACCTTGAATTAGGATTTGCAAAGTCACATGACAAAAATGCAGACACAAGGAGGGATGAAGAACTGAGGCCCAAAGTTTGGTTTCCCACAGCAGGTCTGCACCTTCCTTGTTCTGGCCACAATATTCCCAGTAAAGGAGAGAGAGGCTTGCATTGCTTATTTCGCCAGCAATTCTATGATGACACTTGTGACACATCTACGATGTCACATGGTGACACTTATGGTAAGGTCTTGACCCTTTTGATATACTTGGGTTGTTGCTAAACCAGTTTAGGGAAAAGTATATAGAGAAATCATGTCATAGGCCTTCAGACCTTTCCACTTCCTTCTAAGAAGCATTGGGGAAATTCCAGTATGTTCAGGTTATAGTAGCAGGCAAGCTGCCTTGATAAACATAAAGCTTGTTTGGCATTTTGTGAAAACATCACCACGAGCAGGTGCCACTCTATAAGCAACAGAACATGTACTGTGCCAAACACTATCTCCTCTCATTGGGCAAGTTTTCACTTTGCCTCTAGTTTGTGATCACATCAGTAACTTGATCAACCGTGGGTACCTTTGACTGTAGAGATTTTCAGTCTACTTGTGTGTGAGGTGGCCATGATTCTCAAAGCAGTAAATTGTTGTGGAAAGAACAGAATCTAGGTTACATATGGAAGAAGTAGCTAAATCTTCACAACCAACTCTTCTGAGTGTGGAAAAGAGAATAACAGCTTTTTCCTGGTAGCTTGTTTCAAATTGTGTGTATGTGTGTTCAGATGTTGTTCAACTCAAGGTATTAGTGCTAGATGGACACAAACATCTTGTTGACTGCAAAGTGTTGGACCTTGTGAAAAATCCACCACAAAAGATGGTTCTGGCCAGCATATTTATGATATAAAATCCTTCTATAGTTGATGTCAAGCAAAGATAAGAAATGTAGTGCATCTACTAATGTCGTTCTATGTACCACATTATTTTCATCAAAAAGATATTTTGAAGGAATCACTTAATGCCAAGATCTAGAATTGAGGAGTAGAACAGGTTTTTCCCAGTTAATCTGGCAGTTACAGGTCTCAAAGTTGTGAATGAATCATCACTTAGCCAATGATCATCTATTTAGCTGCTCGGTTGTCAGGCATAAACCAAAATATAGAAACTTCTCACTTTGCTCTCTACTCTGTCTTCTTTCATAGATGTAGCTCATTTTGCAGGTGCAACTGTGGAAGCCATTGCTGGCCCAGCAGCAATCTCAGGATCTCACATAGTCCATTTACCAATGGACAAGGGAAGGTAGCAGTGCATGGCACTAGAGTGATAGAGTAACGGTAACGATAATAGAGTATCAAGGAGCCTTAAAACTCAGTGTTGGATATTTGGACACATATCTGTATATATTGCTAACACAACTGAAAGCTGTAAGTGGTAGAGTTGGCAGAGTGTCAAGTGGGTAGCTGTAAGTGGTTGATTTATGCATGGCCTAGGCTGATAAAAACTGAGTTGTCTTCCTTGGAAAATCTAAGAATCCCTTCTACTTGTGGTGTAGACACTTTGAAGGAGCATCATATTCCCTAAAGGACTGTACTGTGTGCCAAATTTGTAACTTGATACGCCTATTTCAGAAACACAAAGTATTCACAGACTAGTTAGAGTAAATACATCCTTCAGTCACATGGGAACTGAGTTTAGAGACTTCTAGGCCCATTTCAAATAAGAAAGGTCTTAGAATTTTTTTTCTTAATTTCCATACTCCTTGAGGAAAAAATAAAAAATTTCACTAAAACTTCGGACAGTAAAAGAGGCTCCCAGGCAGTAGTGCATTATATCCTAGAAAGTTAGCAGTAGAATGAATTGAAGAGCTGTGGGAGAGGAAGAACATCGCCACGTGTCTCTCACAGTACCCTCCTCTGCCTCCTTTGGGCCTTAGGGGGTAAGGAAAGGTCTGAGACAACACAGTGTGCATGTTCCCAGTGTGCACTGCTTCCTGAGACAGGCATTGGACTGAGCCCCTTTCCCACCACTGCTCGTCTGAACTTGGACAAATCTCTTAAATCATTAAATCTTGAGTTTCCCATTTTAAAATGATTATTATAATAGAACATATTGCACAGATTTGTTGAGAAGATTGAGTGATTTTGTATGCAAGATTTGCTTACAGCAAATACAGAAAAAAATAGTACTGCTCTTCTGCTTTTCCTCTTCTGCATTATTGTCTTCTTTTTTTTCCCCTCTACTCACTCCAATCCTCTTCTTCTCCTCTGTATCTCCCCTACCCCCTTGTATCCCCAGGACTCTGGATGCTTTCATAGACATTAGACAGAATAATTATGTGATGAGTGCACAAAATTGACCCCTAGAGGAAAAATAGTGAGAACAATAGTCATTTAAGACTTAGAGACAAATACCTAGTGATTTAAATATAAGGCTGAACAAGTCTTGATATCTGTACATGGACTGTTTCTTGTGGGCATATAAATAACACTAGAGTCAAACATTAGCAAACAAAGGTGTGCATCATCTTGGTGTTGATGGCTTAGCACTGAATGGCTATTCAGTTACACATTCATCTGTTTAGAACACAGCTTGCAAAGAAATGTAAAACTTTAAATAATTTCTTGCTTTTGATTTATTGCCCACCCTTATTCTAAATGTTCTATGATCTAAGCAACTAGAAATACATTTTAGAAAAAATAGTGGACTATGTGTCCAATTCCCAAAGTACAAATCATAACTAGTCTATTTCAAGTATTTTTCATAATAGCTGGAATACAAGTGAAATAAACAGACGGTTTTTGACATTTAGTTCCATAAAATGTGGATTTGAGGGTGCTTTGAGGAAAAGAGAAGATTGTACAGTCCCTTCTACTCTTAATAATGCAGATTTGAAACTGCGGGGTTTACCTACAAGGAAAATAAATCATTGTACAGTGTTTTAAACAACTGAGAGCTTTATTTTCCCACGTAACAAAAGTCAGAAGGTAGGCAGGTGCTGACAATTATATCAACTGGTCATGGCTGTCAGAGCCTAGGACTGAGATCATCTTGGCTTCACCTTCATAATGTGAAGATAGTGAAGAGAGATGCCACAGTTCCAATCCTCCATTAATATTATTATTAATATTGGAAGCAAGGAGATAGAGAAGGAGCAAAAGAACAACAACAGCAAAAAGGACCTATACTAGGTGATTCTTCCCCTCTTTTAGGGTCCTTTCCTGGAAGCTCTACTCAATGACTTCTGCTCATCTGTCATTTGGTAAAAGTGAGTCAGTGATTTTTTCTGTCTGCCAGGAAGGTTGGGAAATGTAAAGTTTTAGAGGTTCACGCAGCTTACCACAAAGTGGAGTCTGATTAGTAAGGAACAAAGTAAGGCTACTTATTACGTAGGCAATAAACAATCTCTCCTACAGTTCACACTTTGGTTCCCCAACATCCATACACAACATTCATACACACATCTTCCCAGGCATTAAGTATACTTCCCACCTCTCCAAAAGAGACAGCCATACGGCCCTATCTTTTTAGCATCCAGGTCAAAATATAAGATCTCTGAGTGATGTTTAATCCTTCCCATCAAGTCTGGCTATGATTTCTTGTGGTTTGATGATGTATAAACTAAATTACAAGCTACCTGCTCATGACATATTTAAACAATGATCCAAGAGAACAAGAAAAATAAAACTAAACTATCATAAAGAGTGGAGAACAATGGGAAATGCAAAGCCCTCAGTGGTCTCTAGCAATTATAAAATCCTACTAGGGAGGATATCAAGGGTTCTCTGCCTCATCAGTGGAGAAATTTTCTTGATCAGACAATCTGTCGATCTCTTGTTCTTTGTACTAAGAATGCCTGCTTTAAATATTGTATTCAAAGACTATAATTGAAGGGGGTGCTGGGAAGAATGGCCCTTATAGGAGCTGAGCAGTTTTAGCACCCTGTCACCTGTTGGTGCCAGTACCAAGACCTGGAATGTACTCCAGATTTTAAAATCACCAGCACTTTCCTTTCAGTGGAGAAGTTTACATCAGTCTAACACTCCCAAAGGATACAAATATAAGACATCAATTAAAAACAACAAACTTCAGGATTCGAGTTACCAAGATCCAACAAAGAAAGAAAGGACATTGAGTTGTGGCCCATACTTCCTCCAGGGATCTGAAAATTTCCTGTGCTGTGAAGAGAAGACAAGTATACATGTGTTGGGGTGCTTGTGGGAGTTTCACTGGACTGTGGAGGCAAAGACTGGGGTTAAGGAATGTCATAATGGCAGGGATTTCAGGGGCTATAATCTTAGAGAAGAGAGAATCATAGATGTGAGCCCGAAACTCTCTATTCAACATTTCCTCTAAGTATTTGCCGAATCCTAAGCCTCTAATACAACAAACAAAATGCTGAAAAATAAAACAAGCAGAAAGCAGCCCTTGTAGGCTAAAAATCTGAGCAGAGATTTTGACAATCTCATGGAACTGGGGTGAGAAGTCAGAGTTCATGGCTCAAAGGGCAGAAAGACTTTGCTAAAAACCCCAGAGTTCCTATTGAGACCCAGAGACCTATGCCCTAGAGGTAGATGTTATTCCCAGGAGTAAGCACAAATGAGAAACAGACCAGCCCCCTAAGGAAGCCTGAAATCTGCTCTCAACTGGATCAAGGTCATCTGCTTGCAATCTCACCCTCTGCCAGGAGAAAATCCAATCTTTTCAAAGGAATGAAGAAGCAAACATCATTCAGGTCCTTTACGATTTTCACATGCAATACCAGGATTTCTGTGAAAAATACAAGGCATGCCAATTAAAAATAATTTCAAGAGGTTCTGTGAACTTTACTCTTCTCTTGTTAATACCATCCTATGAATTAAATACTATTATTATTTCCACCTTATACATGCGGAATCTGAGGATCAGAGGTTAAGTAACCAGTAACCAGCTCAATATCACAAAACTGTGATTCAAACCTGGGCAATCTGGGTCCAGAATCCATGACCCTAGCGTTTGTTCTATGCTGCCTCATGCAAAATAAAATGGTGGGACTCTCATTATACAAAACAGAAACAGGAGGGAAATCTTTCACAATATTAACATTGATTTGTTATGTGTGTGTTTGTAAAATTATTAATGCTTTTCCTTTACTCTCATTTGTATTTTTTAAATTTACCAAAATTTATATAAACGTTACTTTCATAGTTGAAACTGAAGATGAGGAGTGGTATAAAATTATTCTATCCTACTAGCAATAACTATAAATATTTTCTAGTTACAATGACCATAAATGTCAGTAGTTACTTTAGGACCAAACAAGTATTTCTATTATGGTTCATTCCATCAAATGCAAATATAATTTTCTAAATATCCTACAATTTTGGTTAAATATGAATTGGCTTTTGAAAAATTTGTAAGTATATACTTTAGCTATCTATCCGCAGGAAATCGTTCTTTTTTAGGTTTATCAACCATTTCAAGACAACAAATCGTCATAAATTTTACTGGAATTAGCAATTTTCTGACTGCACTTTAATGGCCTGAGTGAATATAGTTCTAGTGCATAAACAAAGTGCTCCTATCACGCTATTAGAATTGAATTAAAGATCAGAGGGTGGAACACTTTCCCCAAATGCAGTTTTAACAGGTTTTTACTGCAGCATGTCTAGTAAATCATTTTAATATATAACAGTAATAATCCTAAACATTTGGTAAGACAACGCTTGGTAACTTAAACCATAGCAAAACTGAAAGTAAATAAAAAATGCACTTTATTAAAAAAAAAAAGCAAAATCTATCAGCTTGCATAGTAGAAAAAGAAAGAAATTGTCTGAGCATGAAATTACACAGTGGCGTGAACGGTAGCTGGTACCACAGGAGAGAAGTCGTTGGAGATAAAAGACTCAGCCCAAGGATCACGGAAGGAGCTCTCCGTCTGCAGCTGCGTCGCTCTCCTACACGGCTCCTGCCAGGACCCAGCGACACTGACGACGCCCTGCCTTTCCCTGAGCCTACACGACACAGAAACTCATAAATCACTCTGATCGTGACAGAAAAAGAAAAGCTTTTGTCCAAAGAACTCCTGATTAACAACCCTAGCAAGAAACTGACACAATTTTTACTTATTTACTTTTAATGTAATTTTTCCAGTTTTCACAGATCTAATCACAGGTTGAGGGCTGGGGAGGCATGCGTGGCCCCAGAGACTGAGCAAGGGTCACTATGGCTTCCTCAGAAGCTCACCACTTGTTACGTTTCCTTAGCATTTTTAAGTGATGTTTGGATATAGTTTGGGGACTCCTTCCCAAAGCATCATACAGAAATATTGTATTCTAAAATGATCAGTATAATTAGAGTTTTGGAACATGATTTCCAAGGGGAAAATGAAGTACTGCTAATAACTCTCAAAGAGAAAGACTATGGTTACAGACATGGAGTAAAATATACATTATTTCTTTGACTCTCTAGTACATTCTATATATGTGAGTTTTAAGTCTCGAATGTATATATATATATATATTAAGTGTGTGTATTTTATTTTTATAGTGAGGCTGGCATTCAGCAGTCATTATCTGTGGGGTTAGCAATCATTAATCTGGGCTGATTTACGGATAATTTTTATTTTCTTCATGTAATTAGAAAAATGTTTGAAATGATACTGCAACAAAAATATTCATTTGCCTAACAATAATTACAGATTTGTAAATTTAGGTTTTGTAAATATAGATTAGCTTGTAGCTGCTTCTTTTATTTTCTAATTTTATTGAGATGTAATTGACATATAACATTGCATAAGTTTAAGGTGTACGACTTGATGATTTGATACATGTGTATATTGAAAATTATTACCAAAATAAGGTTAGTTAACACATCCATCACCTCACATAATAACCATTTTTTTTTTTGTTATTATTGTTGTGGGGAGAACATTTAAGATTTACTCTCTCAGCAAGTTTTAAGTATACTGTATAGTACTAACTATAGTCATCATGCTGTAGATTAGATCTCCAGAACTTATTCATTTTATAACTGGAAGTTTGTATCCTTTGACCAAAATCTCCTCATTTCCCCCAGCCTCTAGCCCCGGGCATCCACCATTCTACTCTCTGTTTCTATGAGTTTGGCTATTTTCGATTCTGCACATAAGTGAAATATTACAGCATTTGTCTTTGTCTGACTTATTTCACTTAGCATAATGCCCCCCAGGTCCATCCATGTGGTCGCAAATGGCAGGATTTCCTTCGTTTTTAATGGCTGAATAATATTCCAGTGTGTGTGTGTGTATTACATTTTTACATTTTTATTATCCGCTCACCTGTCAGTGGAAACTTGGTTGCTTTCACGTCTTGGCTATTGTGAATAATGCTGCACTGGACATGAGAGTGGAGCTCTCTCTTTGAGGGAGTGATTTCATTTCCTTCAGATATGTACTCAGAAGTGAAATTACTGGGTCATATGGTAACTCTATTTTTAACTTTTTGATCAACCTCCATACTGTTTTCCATACTGATTGTACCAATTTCCATTCCCCATAACAATGCACAAGGGTTCCCTTTTCTCCATATTCTCACCAACACATGCTACCTCTTGTCTTTTCAATAATAGCCATTCTAACAGGAGGGAGGTGATAGCTCATTGCGGTTTCGATTTGCATTTCCCTGATGATTAGTGATGTGGAGAATTTGTATGTCTTCTTTGGAAGAGTGCTTATTCACATTCTTTGCCCATGTTTTTTTTACCAGATTGTTTGTGTTTTTGCTACTGAGTTGTGTGACTTTCTTATGTAGATATTTATCCCTTACTAGATGTGTGGTTTGAATATTTTCTCTCTTTCTTTAGGCTGCCTCTTAATTTTGTTGATTTTGCTGTGCAAAAGCTTTATAGTTTGATGTAGTCTCCCTTGTCTATTTTTTTCTTTCATTGCTTGTGCTTTTGGTGTCATTTCCAAAAATCATTGTCAAGACCAACATCAAGGAGCTTTCTCTCTGTTTTCTGCTAGGAGTTTTATGGGTTCACATCTTACATTTAAGTCCTTTATCCATTTAGAGTTAATTTTTGTGAGTGGTGTATGATATGCGTCCAATTTCATTTCTTCTCATATAAATATTCTGTTTAAACAAGACCATTTATTGAAGAGACTATCATTTCTCCAATGAGTATTCTCAGTTCCATTGTTAAAATTAGTTAATGGTATGTGTGAGGATTTATTTCTGGGCTGTTGATTCTGTTCCACTGGTGTATTATCTGTTTTTATGCCAGTACCATACTATTTTGATTACTATAGCTTCATATGCGGTTTGAAATCGGGAAGTATGATTCTGCAAGGTGTGTTCTTTCTCAAGATTGCTTTGGCTATTCAGGATCTTCAGTAATTCTGCATGATTTTTAGGACTGTTTTTTCTATTTCTTTGAAGAATGTCATTGGAATTTTGATAGAGATTGCATTGAACGTGTAGGGGTTTGCATTGTGACTGCAGGGGCTAGCCACAGGCATGTTCTCAATGGTGGGTGCCAGTGATGGGAATCAGGGCAACTCCGGGCACTTGAGCAGCTGCATGGGCCAGGTTTCAACCTGCACTCATGTGGCATCAGAGACTGGCCACGGGCATGTACATGGCAGTGGAGGCTAGTGAGGGGAGATGGGGCTGTGGTGTGCAGCTGCACAGCTGCAGGGACTAGCTGAAGACCCTCACAGCACCACAGGCCAGTGACAGGAGTTAGGGCTGGATCCAGGCCCACAATCAGCTCCGTGGGCCTTGGCCATTGATATGCACTTGTGCAGGTACAGGGGTAGCTACAGGCACATTCACAGCAGTCGGGGCAAGTGACAGAAAGTGGGGCTGAGGGCTTGCAGGTGCGTAGCTGCAGGGGCTAGCTCTGAGCATACACAGCAGTGCAGACCAGTGACATGAAGCAGAGCCACATCCAGGCCCAAGAGCAGCTGTGGGGGCCTTGGCTGTCAGTGTGCACTTGCGTGGCTGCAGGGACTCACCATAGGCATACACACTGCACTGGAGCCTGGTGACAGGAGTCAGGGCTGGTGGCATGCAGGTACACGGCTGCAGGAGCTATCTGTAGGGACACGTAGTGGTGTAGGCCAGCAACAGGAGCCGGGGCCGGATAGGGCCCACAAGCATATAGCTGCTTCTTAAATACGGATGCATCTTCCTTCTTTATATAAAGCCAAATTGGCTTGGAAAGTAGCTAAAATATTTTACCAAATTTAATGTGGAAGAAAACCACAAAATTCACAGCAGTCGATACTAACTGAAGAATGGCACCACAGAGGGATCAACAGTTATGCGGAAGGGAAAGCATGCAAAACTAGAAGAAATAGAATGTGAAAGAATAAATAGACCACATTTCTAAATTTTACCTGCCTAATGACATTACATTACTGCTGACTTTCCCTGTAAGCAATAAGGTACTATGCTGAAATAGGCTGGAGATCCAGAAAAGTTTTTATCCAGGTAAAGCCATCTGGTCGTTAATTTGCCTTGAAATTTCTGTGAGGTGCTGAGGGCAAAGCAGCAGATGTCATCACTGAACTGTGCAGAGACGATAATCAAATCATTGCCTCCTGCCCTAACATATGAAGCAGGGAGAATACGGCATAAATGCAGGAAGAGGAACTTAAAAGTCCTCACAATTTTTATCCAAAAGGAACGATTATTTGGCTGAGCTTCAGATTTGCATTTATTTCTACAAGAGTCACTAAAATTCAGAAATGTGTACTGAATGGGAACAAATTAATTATGCTGATTCTTTTGGGATACAGTTTTATACGTATTCGCATCCACAGTCGTCCACCAAACATGGACATTGTTATTAATTATAGACATTATTATTAATAATGACAAATAAGGGAAAATTTTCTTTTAAAGCAGTGGTTCTCAACTGAGGATGACTTTGCCCCCCAGGGTGCATTTGTCAAAAATGGAGACATTTTTGGTTGTCACAACTGAAGGGTGCCACTGGCATCTAGTGGATGGAGGCCACTGATGCTGCTAAACATCCTATGGTGCACAGGACATCCTCCTACAACAAAAAGCTTTCTAGCCCAAAATCTCAATACTGCCAAGATTGAGAAATCCTGTTTTAACAAAAACATTGCATTTTAATTATTTTTGAATCGAATGAGAGTATAACACAATCCAGAATTTTTGAATTATAAGAATTAGAAAGATTGGGATTGTTATAAAAAAGCAAAGAAAATCTTTCTGCAGAATTCCTTCTACAGAAAGCAATGGGTTACAAAAATGGGGATAGATCCTGTATTACACAGTGTTGCTTTAGACACTTATGAGTCAATGTGATATATTTTTGTGTTCAATCCCTTTGAATGACTTTTAAAATATTTTTCCCAACAGATTTATATATGCGCATGTATGTAAGTATATAAGTATGATTTGGTAGTAAAGAGAAACCTTTGCCCTTAAGAGGAATTGGACCCTCAGAGAGTCTAAAAGAGGCACAGACGTTTTAGGCCACAGCTGCAGGGACATTAACGTACAAGGAGTGAGCATGAGGCACCTGTACTCCTGAGGGAGAGTTAGAGGAAGGTGAGCCTTCGAAAGTGCACAACATGGAGGATTCTGGGACAGGAATCTAAGCTTGAGGTTATCAGATTGCAACTGATCGCTTATCTGTCTATATCAGATGATAAATACTCAGAGAAAACTTGAAAACAGTGGCAAAAATGTTGTCATTTTGTCTTCTGCATGATGATTAATTTCTATGAATAACATCTGGAATTATAAGGTCTACATATTGATTTTAGAGCTGGCTCTACTTCCCTCCTCCACTGCTCTTGCTTCAGGGACTTCTACTACATTTGTCTGATTGCTGTCAGTCCTCTTAATTATTCACTAAGAATCAAGGAATATCCTGAAGAATTACTTATTTTTTCCTTACAAAGATGACCTCCTTGTGACAGAGAAACCATGTTTGCAAGTGCTGTAATTACATCAGGAGGGAGGATGTATTAAGGATCGTGGTGTATCAGGCACGT